TGACCTCAGCAGTGTGCCTTACACATTACTAACCCCTGCACTTGGTGTTATAAACGACGGAGCTCCGCACTCTGCGCTGTTACTTCTGACCCCTGTACTCTGCATTACTTGCTGCTGACCCCTGCAGTCTGCGTTACATACTCCTGCCTCCTGCATTCTACATTTCTTACTACTGACCTTGCACTCTGCTTCACATACTCCTGACCCTGCACTCTGTGTTACTTAAGTTACTACTGACTCCTGAGGCGTGTTCAGTTGCTCAGCTGCTGCGAGTTAGCAAACCGCCGCTGAACGCTGTGCTGCAGTTCAGTGCTCAGCACTGCTAAGTTAGCACTCGCAACAGAAGTGAATGAGAATGCAGAACGCTGAGTGTGAAGGAGAAGGTAGCGACAGAGCACCAGCGGCCATTTTAACTATGGACACACCTGGCAGCTCTGGAGAAAGAGGCCTGAACTCAGATGGAGGAAATCAATTCAGTGTGGGAACCTACAATTTAGTGTTTTGGTGCACAAGCACACCAAATATTCGTTTGAAAATGGTATTTAGGCTTAAAAATATTATCCGCCATTTTGCTTAGCACTGTGCAGCCGAAGCGTTCAGTGAAGCTGCTGCAGAACAGCTGCTCAACGCTTGGAACTGAACACGCTTCTGCACTCTGCTTTACATACTCCTGACCCTGCATTGTGTGTTACCTACTACTGACCCCTGCACTCTGCATTACTTAATACTGACCTCTGCACTCTGTAATACTGACTACTGACCCCTGCACTCGGAGTTACATGCTACTGACCCCTGCACTGTGTGCGTTGACCTTAAAGTTAAACTGCAGACAGATATAAAAGCCATAAACTAATATAGCTCTGAAATATACAGCAGCAATGTACAGAGAACAGAGCCAGTCATTCTCTGGACTAAAGAAGCTTACACTCTAATGCCCCCACCCCCATAGTCACACACTATTATTTTACATTCATATAGCTCTGACATAATTTGGTGACCCTATAATAGCTCCTCCATCACCACCGCCTCCTAATATTTAACGACCAGGGTGCATGCTGGAACTCTCGTCACAACTACTCCCATCCCCCTTCACTTTCTCTCCCCCCCAATCCCCCCCCCCCCCCCCCCCAGTCGCACACTGCTATTAGAATACATATACACAGCACTGACATATTGTGAAATGCTGTATAGAGAACACTGAGCCAGTCATATCACTCTCTGCACCAGAGGAGCTTACACTCTAATGTCCCCACAACAGTCAAACATTATTATTATTCATTTATGTAGCGCTGACATATACCGCAGTGCTGTACAGAGAACACTGAGCCAGTCACATCAGTCTTTGTAAAGAGGAGCTTACACTCTAATGTCCCCCCACAGTCACATCAGTCTCTGTACAGAGGAGCTTACACTCTAATGTCCCCCCCCACAGTCACACACTATTGTTATACAATGATGTTGCTCTGACATATGCCGCAGCGCTGTACAGAGAAAACTGAACCATTCACATCAGTCTCTGCACCAAAGGAGCTTACACTCTAATGCCCCCAGCGGAGTCCACTCCAGGGACTAATGACCCAAAAGCCGATTAACCTACCAGATTGTGTTTGGATTGTGAGAGTAAAGTGGAGCACTGACAGCACACTGACATTAATACGGGGAGATCATGTGAACTTCATGCGGAGTGGATTTTATAAATCACTGAGGAAATAATATCTATAATGATGATAATCTCGCTTTATTACACGTAGACCCGGATGCCACTTCAAAATGGAGAAGGAGAGCGTGCGGGGCTATGTGTCTGTCACAGCGGTGTCACTTACCTGGATGATTGACAGGATTAATGATTCTTATCTCCAAACGAATGCACAGGCAGCACTTCCATTGACTTTGCAGCTCCTAGGTCTGCCTATGCACTGCGCTATTAACACCTCCAGCACCTAAGGAGGCAGAAGACCTGGTGGCCTGCATGACAGTGCTTATGGTTTAAAGCTGAACTCCACCTTCTGACAAATTGGGGACTGTGATCAAAAATCTTGAAAACATTTTATTATTTTGCAGGTAATTCTTTTGAATGGCACACCAACATGCTTAAACTGTAGAGGTCAATGCACCCTGTAGACCACAATGGGCCCAGGCTGAAAACTGAGCAATCTTTAATAATAATTTGTAATAATGATTTATAACTGCTTAAAGGAGAACTATGGGGTCAGTGTTTTTCCCCATAGTTCTCCTAAGGGTCACGGGAGGACATAAACTAGCGTCCTCCCGTCACCCTAAGCTCAGTATATATTTTTTTTTTGAGGGGGGGGTTCCTTCCACAACCCAAAAACATACCAATAGCATAATAAACCTCCAGCCCAATTTCCCCTGCTTCAATGACTAGTGTAAGCACATTAGATTGTAAAGCTCCCGTGGTTCAGAGACTGATGGGAATAGTTTTCCAAAAAGCACCCCGGAGTATGTCGGTGTTTTACGAATAAACAATGTGACACCCTTTGAAAGTATTCACCCAGTAAAGTGTAAAATGCATGCCACTAGTTTTATTTTTATGTCTGTATATATTATTATTATTATACAGGATTTACATAGCGCCAACAGTTTGCCCAGCGCTTTACAATATAAGGAAGACATTACAATCACAATACAAATCAAGACAAGATGGTAAGGAGGGCCCTGCCCATGAGGGCTTACAATCTAAAAAGGGAGGTATATAGTGCAGACATGTTACTCTTTAGAGACTACATATATTTATGTACATCAGACCCTGTGACTTAAGTAGCTTACAATTGTATGTCGTCCCTTCCACACTCATAGACCCCCAAATATACAGGTGAAACTCGAATAATTAGAATATCGTGCAAAGTTCATTTATTTCACTAATGCAACTTAAAAGGTGAAACTAATATATGAGAGAGACTCATTACATGCAAAGCAAGATAGTTCAAGCCGTGATTTGTCATCATTGTGATGATTATGGCTTACAGCTCATGAAAACCCCAAGAACCCCAAATCCACAACCTCAAAAAAGTTGATTATTACATGCAATCAATAAAACAAGGATTGTACATAGAACAATATCGGACCTCTGAAAAGTACAAGCATGCATATGTACTCAGTACTTGGTTTGGACCCCTTTTGCAGCACTTACTGCAATTACTTTTGCACGATATTCTAATTATTCGAGTTTCACCTGTATGTGCAAAATGGGCAAATAGTGTGGCCAGGCAGCAGAGAAATCAAATACAATTGTGGAGAGCATCACTAGCAGAAGGAAGGAGGTCCTGGTTCCTCTATAAGTATATAGATCTCTATTATCACTAGAGGGATTCCAAGCAGGAGGAAGGAGGTCCTGATTCCTCTATATAGATCTTTAGTTATCACTAGAGGGGTCCCCAGCAGGAGGAAGGAGGTCCTGATCCCTCTATATAGATCTTTATTATCACTAGAGGGATCCCCAGCAGGAGGAAGGAGGTCCTGATCCCTCTATATAGATCTTTATTATCACTAGAGGGATCCCCAGCAGGAGGAAGGAGGTCCTGATCCCTCTATATAGATCTTTATTATCACTAGAGGGATCCCCAGCAGGAGGAAGGAGGTCCTGATCCCTCTATATAGATCTTTATTATCACTAGAGGGATCCCCAGCAGGAGGAAGGAGGTCCTGATCCCTCTATATAGATCTTTATTATCACTAGAGGGATCCCCAGCAGGAGGAAGGAGGTCCTGATCCCTCTATATAGATCTTTATTATCACTAGAGGGATCCCCAGCAGGAGGAAGGAGGTCCTGATCCCTCTATATAGATCTTTATTATCACTAGAGGGATCCCCAGCAGGAGGAAGGAGGTCCTGATCCCTCTATATAGATCTTTATTATCACTAGAGGGATCCCCAGCAGGAGGAAGGAGGTCCTGATCCCTCTATATAGATCTTTATTATCACTAGAGGGATCCCCAGCAGGAGGAAGGAGGTCCTGATCCCTCTATATAGATCTTTATTATCACTAGAGGGATCCCCAGCAGGAGGAAGGAGGTCCTGATCCCTCTATATAGATCTTTATTATCACTAGAGGGATCCCCAGCAGGAGGAAGGAGGTCCTGATCCCTCTATATAGATCTTTATTATCACTAGAGGGATCCCCAGCAGGAGGAAGGAGGTCCTGATCCCTCTATATAGATCTTTATTATCACTAGAGGGATCTCCAGCAGGAGGAAGGAGGTCCTGATTCCTCTCTATAGATCATAGTTATCACTAGGGGGATCACCAGCAGGAGGAAGGAGGTCCTGATTTCACTATACGGTGCTTTATTTAGAACTCATTTGATATACTTTATCCAGTTTTGGAGACCCATCTTACAGACAGATTTTGATATGATAGATGGGCAACGGAAAAGGTCTGAGGGATAAAACACAGCAGGAGAGACTAAAGGAACATTCGAGTGGCTTTGACAAAAGGTAATATTTTACCAAAAGATACTATTGTCCATACTGAGACACAAATTAGGCTAAAAAAAGGTTAAAAAATGGCAGATGGACCATTTGGTTTTTTTTCTACCATCAGTCTTCTAAATATCTTTGTCTATGCTGTCTAGGGTCAATGTGGAGAGAAGCAGATTCATCTACCACTTTTTAGGGTCATGGGTGGAAACCCACTTAATACAGGGGGGACAGAAAGACTCCATGCAGACAGTACCCCACCTGAGACCCCAGCTTTACATGCGCAGGGTTCTAACAATTTATAGATATACTGTGCTGCCATGTGCGTCATGCCGCTTGAACAATCTGCTGCCTTTGATACGCCGCAATAAGGGGTTTTTTTTTCATCAGTCTGACCTGGATTTCTCGCTGTCACTTTTAAATACACTTTCCTCTGCTGTGTTTAACAGTGAGACAGGTGTAGTCTTAATACGTTTAGGAGAAGCCAATTAACACTTTGCAACCTTAGCTTGGATTACAATGATTAATGGAGATCTAAATCCCTGGGTGCTGACATTGGCAGTGGCAGCTTATGGAAGGTGGCACGTTATAAAGAGCAGTGTGTCGGCGGTCACTATGTAGAGCGGCTCTTGCTGGGAACATAACGTTTTTTTTTCTAGGGGTTCCTGAGAGGAGGGAGAAACACAGAAGCAGTTTCTAACTAGTGGGGGAGGGGGCAACTTTCAAGAGCTGCAAACATGAATGGAACAGAAGGCCCCAACTTTTATATCCCCATGTCTAACAAGACTGGGGTAGTACGAAGCCCCTACGAATACCCTCAGTATTACCTAGCAGAGCCATGGAAGTATTCTTTATTGGCCGCCTACATGTTCATGCTTATCCTCCTCGGGCTCCCAATCAACTTCATGACCCTGTATGTCACCATCCAGCACAAGAAGCTCCGAACACCCTTAAACTACATCCTACTGAACTTGGCGTTTGCCAACCACTTTATGGTCCTGTGTGGATTCACCATCACGCTGTACACCTCCCTCCATGGATACTTCGTGTTCGGACCGAATGGATGCTACTTTGAAGGCTTCTTCGCTACTTTTGGTGGTAAGTCCTTGTTCCCTGAAGGGAGATTTGGTGTGAAGAACAATACTTGTATCAGATGGAAGTAGCCATTCTGTTTACCATGGGCCACATGCTAGAACAGTAATACTGGATCTGTAGAGCTTCAGTGCAAGTGTAGCCCCTGCTTTAAAGCTAGTTTGGGGTGCAGGAGTCACAGAATGGCTGCTTGTGGTCTGAAATGGCTATTGGGTTTTAGGACAGATATCTCTTTGAAGGTTAGGCAAAGGCTAGTACATGAGCTGGGAAGGCATATGCTTAGTTTACTAATGGATCAAGGCCACCTAAGCCCCTTCCTATCGTAGGTAAGGAGAGGTCTAGGTGCCCGAAAAGCAAGTGAAACTGGGAAGCTTTGATTTCTTCATAAATAGTACTTGTGTCAAAGATGTTGCCAAATGGTGACATGCACATGTGTTTCACTATGCATACATCGCTCAGTCTGACCAAACCTCCAGTTAACAAAAGTGATCAGGGTCCAGTTTGGCCAGTCTGCCATTACCTTGGTCAAAACCATCCAGACTAGGTGCCATTAGTTGAACAGTTGGCATGGTGCCCTCAGATACTACTGAATTTGCTTCTATTACATGGCGCTAGTATCTGAGTGCTCAAAATAACTGGAGCTCATTTTGAAATGGCGAAAAGGAAACCTGGAGGTGGAAAAATCTAGAGCGACGACACTCGTCTGAAAATCCAAGGCAAGCATGGTTACTGTATTGCTAAAGGCTTTGGCTGCCTATGCGTTATGGTGGGTGGACAGGAATCAGAATACTAGCATTCATGTTGCTGCATGCCTTTTTGGGTTATCATCACGAATAATCCTCATTTCTGTCTGACAGGTGAAATGGCCCTTTGGTCCCTGGTGGTGTTGGCCGTTGAGCGATACCTTGTGGTCTGCAAACCTATGAGCAATTTCCGATTTGGTGAAAACCATGCCTTTATGGGTGTGGCATTCACCTGGCTCATGGCCCTGTCTTGCTGTGGTCCTCCTCTCTTCGGCTGGTCCAGGTACATCACAGTGCTTTTAAAGATTCTTGATATTTATGGAAATGTGGTCATCATAAAGCATATGTAAACCCTAATGTCTCGTTCACACCTAGGCGTATTGCATATGCGCGTCTGTCGCACGACCGGCGCACATTTTTTTTACCGCGATTCGCGGTAAAAAAGTCACGCGACCCTCGCGCGTTTCCGAAGGCTACTTGGCTGTATCCCAATGGAAACACGCAACAAAACGGCCCAAAGTAGTACCTGTACCTTTTCAGGCGTGGGCCGTTTTGTAGCGCGTTAGGGACGGGCGGAAATACGCCAAGGTGGGAACGAGACCATTGAATACAATGGGATTTATATTTTTGAGCGTTTTGTAGAGCGTTCGTCGAGCGTAGAACGCGCTACAAAACGTTCAGGTGTAGCCCTCGTTCACAGGGCTTACTGAACGATATTTTGTGTGCTCAGGCACTGTGTATCATAAACAATGTACTTTTTTTTTTAACCCTTTTTTCATCCTTTGTTGCATATCAGTGCTGCTGATCGACTGTGGCCTTTCTGCAGCTACTTTCAGTCTACATGCACTACAGGGATGGCTGCATGGCATTTCTCAGGGCGGATTTCCTGCAGTGGCTTCTTGTAGTCTGATTAGGGAGAGCGTGTGACAGGGTGACAGCACAGGAGAAGAGGGAAGATAGGGACAGAGTGTTGTCACCCTGTAACAAAAAATGTACAAGAACAGGATTACATTAATATTGAAAACATATTTTGCAATTACAATTGGCATGATACCAAATGGGTTTACATGCACGTTAAAGTGTATTTTTTGTTGGACGATTCTACTCCCTCCCCCCAAAAAAAAGAAATGGTGAAATAAACTGATGATTCAATCAAACAAAAACAGCAAATATGATTCAGGTGCAAGAATAATCCCCCTTCATCTCCCAATTCCTTTATATAGATTGTAAAATTATCACTAGAGGGATCTCCAGCAGGAGGGAGGAGGTCCTGATTCCTCTATATAGATCTTTAGTTATCACTAGAGGGATCTCCAGCAGGAGGGAGGAGGTCCTGATTCCTCTATATAGATCTTTAGTTATCACTAGAGGGATCTCCAGCAGGAGGGAGGAGGTCCTGATTCCTCTATATAGATCTTTAGTTATCACTAGAGGGATCTCCAGCAGGAGGGAGGAGGTCCTGATTCCTCTATATAGATCTTTAGTTATCACTAGAGGGATCTCCAGCAGGAGGGAGGAGGTCCTGATTCCTCTATATAGATCTTTAGTTATCACTAGAGGGATCTCCAGCAGGAGGGAGGAGGTCCTGATTCCTCTATATAGATCTTTAGTTATCACTAGAGGGATCTCCAGCAGGAGGGAGGAGGTCCTGATTCCTCTATATAGATCTTTAGTTATCACTAGAGGGATCTCCAGCAGGAGGGAGGAGGTCCTGATTCCTCTATATAGATCTTTAGTTATCACTAGAGGGATCTCCAGCAGGAGGGAGGAGGTCCTGATTCCTCTATATAGATCTTTAGTTATCACTAGAGGGATCTCCAGCAGGAGGGAGGAGGTCCTGATTCCTCTATATAGATCTTTAGTTATCACTAGAGGGATCTCCAGCAGGAGGGAGGAGGTCCTGATTCCTCTATATAGATCTTTATTATCACTAGAGGGATCTCTGGAACTCTAATTGTATATGCAGCAGCAGCAGCGGCTTCCAGTCCTAAAGAAAAGTTTGTACCAAATCATATATATAGAACCATTTGGTTATGGTATCCTCTAAGCCCTGATGAAGGTTGAATATTGTTATGCGTGAACACATTGGCTGATGAAATGGTGAATAATTAAAGGCAACCGCCCATTATTTCTATACTTTGCGTCACATCCAGGCACCCAACAAGGGAGGGCACCTGCCTTACCAGAGCCAGCGAGCTTACTCGTAAAATTCGTAGCATGTGAACGGTTTGAACAAACATTAAAATCCCGGCAACTCTTAAATGTGTTTCTCTGCATTATACTGACTAAAACCCATTGGTGCTTCCTTCACCGCTATGTTTCCTTCCATGTTAGCATTAGACACAGGTTTATTATATATATGAAGCTTAGAGAACCTTTAGTAGTCCAACCATAGATTTGTTTATGTAGATCTACACATCTCCCACTGCGGAGGCAGGAAGGATAGGACATCCTTTGGTTCTAATACAGGGACTATCCCTACTAAAGAGGGACACTTAGAGGTTCTACATGAAACAAGTGATATGTGAAAACATTTCTAAGGGTACAAGTCCGCTCTAATGGTACCAGCAAGGCTGCCCTTCCCAGAACTCCTGACCAGCTCTTCTACTTTCTTCCAGATACATCCCTGAAGGAATGCAGTGCTCATGTGGAGTTGACTACTACACTCTGAAGCCTGAGGTTAACAATGAGTCCTTTGTCGTCTACATGTTCATTGTTCATTTCACCATCCCTCTGATTATCATTTTCTTCTGCTACGGACGTCTGGTGTGCACTGTGAAAGAGGTGGGTGCCGAGGGCAGGAACACTTATCTTTTGGGATCTACCAACCTGTTGCATTGATTGTCTTCCCCCCACCACTTTTTCCATGAATATCTACTTTTAAATGACCTGCTTTTTGGCCACATGCTCCGTTTAAGGGATCTCCCTTTACTTCCTGTCCTGTAGACCCAACCACAATGCAGTGCAGGTACCTCAACCAACTACTGAAATCAGGATGACAGTCCCAGCACTGGGAGGGGGAAGTGAGAGTAAATCTCTCCAAAGTGATCCCCTCTTATGCAGTTGTCAATGACACAAGTATCCTCGTTAAATGATTTCCCCTCTATTCCCATTCTGGTGGCAGCTCAGAATATCAGATTTCCATTGCTTTTAATCCCTGTGACAATGATCGCTTGGATAAACAGAGAGGGTGACTCTACCTTGCAAGAACACAGAGGGCAATAAAAAGCTGACAGGGGTCCTGACGCTTCAACACTCTATCCAAAACTAGTGAAAAAAAAAATGTTTGCCTGTAGATACACTTGATATATAGAAGAGCAGAATGGGACCAGTGAGGTCCTACCTGTTCTCTCCCCTTCCTAAACTTCAACCCCCCCCCAGCTCCCAATACATGGAGCATTTTAGGATGACATCACTGTGCAGAGTGATAGACCCAGATTGTCTCCCAATGCTGGGACTGTCAGTTTCATTTCAGTAGTTGGTTCAGGTACCTGCACTGCATTGATGTTGGGTGCAGCGGAGTAATCACTTGGAGCTGATATTTACAGACTGCATGCAACCCAGGTTCAGGTTCTGCCACAGAAGGCAGAGGAGCCATATTGGTAGGGCAGGGGAGTACACTGGTGGTACCATCCACAACCCACCTATTGCAGGGTGCCATGTGTGTTTTACTGACAGGCTCGATCTATAGTTATTGTGCTTTGGTGACTGTCAGTGGTAGGCAGCGTCACTGTTAGAGACAAGTCATGCAATACCAGAGAACGTCCTAGTGAATTCACAGGCACTGTGGTACAGATCGTTTCAACAAACCAATTGGCTTCCACCAAAGGTGCATATTATTTTCATTGGCTAGTTTACCATATGAACACGACTTGTATCCATGGGCAAACACAACTTGCTTTTAGGTGCATTCAGCTTGCATTTGAGATGCTCCTGCATCTGACCTACTCGAGGACCTTCATTTCACCTCCTTGTAAGCTGCTTTAACCTGTTTCGAGCTGCTTTTGTATTCTCATTGACTAGTATGGGGAGAGAAGCGGTTCTGATGCAAACAGAAAGCCTATGTACACAGGCCCTAATGGTGGGTGGTAGGTGTGGTTGAAGGTAAGTGGCCTTTGTTCCTCCTGCTCACCCTTGGTATTCTTCTCTTCCACAGGCTGCAGCCCAGCAGCAGGAGTCAGCCACCACCCAAAAGGCTGAGAAAGAAGTCACCCGCATGGTCGTCATTATGGTAGTTTTCTTCTGTATTTGTTGGTTCCCCTATGCTTTTGTGGCATTCTACATCTTCACCCACCAAGGCTCAGAATTCGGCCCGATCTTCATGACTGTGCCAGCTTTCTTTGCCAAGAGCTCTGCCATCTACAACCCTGTCATCTACATTATGCTGAACAAACAAGTAAGTTGATTTTATTTCTAATGATCTTTTTCTACCCAATCAGCCCTCAGTTGTCTTCCCTGGTTTTCAACCAGTTTCAACACCTGGCCCCCGATACTCCAACCTTCTTTGGCCTAAACTGTTAATTTACAATGCCTACTATGTTTATTGTATCTCCTCTCTGTCTGCATGTGCACAGTTCTCAAATGTATAGCACATAAATTAACTTTTGCCAGAAAAGTATTTATATCAGGAGAGAGTATTACGGGAGGTGTGCCAAAGTGGTGGGTGTCAGCGTTCTAGAGCTGCATGACATGGGGTACTACCATAATGCAGAAAGAGAATTTAGGTAATAAAAAGGGGTATGGACAAAGTTCTTAGGGAACTTGGCAGTGGAAAAGGCTGGACCTCTGACCATGTAAAGTTACTGCAAAGAAATTAGGCAACGGAAGGACCAGGGCCCCCAATAAATGAAGCTACAGAAGAGGAATTAGGCAGCGGAAGGACCAGGACTTCTAACAATGTCAAGATACAAAGTAGGCATTAGGCAGTGAAAGAGAAGAAGCCTCCAACAATGTTAAGCTACAGAAGAGGAATTAGGCAGTGGAAGGAGCAGGACCTCCAACAATGTGAAGCAACAGAATGACATTTAGGCAGTAGAAAGAGCAGAGCCTCCAAGGGTGGAAGCCCCAGGACCTTCAACAATGCAAAGCTACAGAATGAGAATTACGCAGTGGAGGCACCAGAACCTCTAGCAATGCTGCAAAAGGGGGTTTAGGCAGTAGAAGGAGCAGAACCTCCAAGGGAGTCAAGCTACAGGTGGAGAATTAGGCAGCGGAAGGAGCAGGACCTCCATCAATGTGAAGTAACAGAAGAAGAATTAAGCAGTAGAATCCGCAGTACCTTCAAAAATGCAGTTACAGAATGAGAATTAGGTACTAGGCCATCCTCTAGAAGCACATTTCATGCAATGAGGGTTAGACAGTTGAATGAGCAGAATCTACTGGTAGATCAGAGCATTTCAGAAGAGAAGAACCAAATACCAAAAGGAACAAAGGCTTTCAGCCCAGTGGAACAAAGCCTTTCAGCCCATGGACTGTTTTAGGAGATGAGAAATGGACAGTAGAAAGAACAGCAGCATAAAGTAGGGTTTGGTGCATAGAGTAGGAAGATCTACTGGTGCTCTACTCAGGCTTCTCACCCTCAGCTCTGTCACTAATAGCTGCTTTCTTTTCCCCCACAGTTCCGTAACTGCATGATCACCACCCTGTGCTGTGGGAAGAATCCCTTTGGAGATGAAGATGCCTCCTCTGCTGCCACCTCTAAGACAGAAGCCACCTCTGTCTCTACCAGCCAGGTTTCTCCTGCATAAGCTCATCGTCCGAGCCTGTGTCAGGGTGCGCTGCCTCACTCAGCTACCGCTACCCCATCTCCGCCTCCTCCTTGTTAAGGCAAAGAATGCCGCCATGTCCCCCTTTAAGTACCTAAAACGTATTTTGCCCAGAAGGGGTAAAAGCCTCTCCCCACCCCTTTGCTGCTGAAAAGGACTGCATTAAGTTGCTTTGCAATGCGATGGGGCCGTTACAGCAGCGAAGGGGTACGTGTCACCAACCAAACAAGGCAAGAAATTTGGTCCGAATTGTAAATATCTCAGGGCCGAGAGATCCTGCTTCGCCTTCTGAACACAAAATTAAAAAAAACAAGAGACTTGAAGCACCATGGGTCCTAGAATCGGCAGCTCTTGGGTGTTGACACCATGGCGCAAAGCAGCGTCTGGCCAGTTCATCTTGCTAAATTATTATTTGTAATTCAACGGAGGGTTTTTTTTTTTTTTTTTTTGTAATAAGATATAAAATTTCCAGTTTTCTGATTGTTTTTTTTTTCTCTTTCTTTTGGTTAACGTCTGATAGTGAGGTTAGACAGACCCTCTACAGCTGTAATAACGAGCACTTTGCAAGTAAAAAAAATACAAAAAAAATATATATATATTTTCAACTGTCTTCTTATTTAATTCACGTCTTCAGCCCAAACTCTACGAACCGTATACTGACCAGAAAGAGCTGCGCGCCACTAAAGATTAACCATCTTTGGCGATGTTCTCTATGTTGTACTGTTGGCGCTCATGGCCAAGTCAAGCGTGCGAGTGCAGAACACAAAAGACAAACAAAGCAAAGAGTTTCAGTCTTGTGGCCAATGACCCGGCAACCCCTCAGGCAAAATAACCTTCCTGTGGTGTTCTTGAGCCAATAAGGGACCAGTCAGTCCATCTTTGGCACCAACTGACTCTTGCTTTCCTAAAGTGTAGCACAATTTTGAAAGCCTTGTTGGCTTTCCCTGTGGCCAAGGCATAATTGACCTTCTGCCCCATTGGTGTTCGTCCTCCTAGTTTGGCATTTGAGGCGTTATCAGTTACCCTGCCAGAAGAACGTATGTCAGTGAGGGACTTCTGGCAAAAGGACTTAATAGCATCACTAACCCCCACACCCACCCACCCACCTACCCTACCTGGATACCTGCACTTTTCTTGAGATGGCAAAAAATACCCCACTCACCCTTTTTTCTAATCAATTTAAGCTGCGGAAATGGATATCTTAGATTTTGAGGCAGGTTCCTTTTTATTTCGCAAGAGAACGTCTGAACGTGGGGAACGAAGGGGGTTGTAGGCCGCTCTGCGCCCCTTCGTAAAATGCCCCTATGGGAAAAAAAAGCCAACATGCAGACCTCTGCGGTACCGACGATATGTCTGTAAATAGAAACATAAGATTTGTGTAGGTGTGTGTGCACATCGCTATTCACATGTAGACGTGCACACGGGTAGACAGGTATGTAATCTGTATACAAGCGTGTGGTCATACGGTGTCCCAGTGGGAAGATGATCAATGTGTAATGCAATCTTTCCTGATAGTAGCTGTTTATTTTCTGTACGATAAGATAGCGGATATTTCCACATAAAAACATTTCCTGCTTAACCGTGTGTCTCTGTGTATGTTTCCGTGTTACATGGGAAGGATGGGTGATCAATGGTGTATTTACCGCCTTGCAGAAAGCAATAGGCGGGTACGGAGGATGGGCACTGACTCTTTTTTTTCAATAAGGGAGTGATGGTAAATTGCTTAACGTAGGCCCATAGCCATGGCAAGCTGAAATCCATTGTTTCCAATAGGCACAGTTGACACCAACGTGCTGGATTGGTGTACGCTGGGTGAACAATGAAACGTGGTACATTAAGGGCTCATTCACCCGGGCGTGCACATCCATGTGGTGCAACCCCCTGTGCAGAGGCCTGCTCCTAGCAGGGACAGGTGCTGCGTCTAATTACGTGCAGCCGCCTGTAGCTCCCTAATGGGAGGACGCACCTGCATATGGATACCAGGGTTGCCACCTTTTCTTCAAGCGAAACCCGAACACTCTAGCTACACGCGGAAATTTTTTGGGGAGAATAAGTCACGGCTTATTCATACCTAAATATCACAGTTTAAACTATGTTCATTGGGTAGCCAGTAGCCCCTAACTTAATTTTGGTTGCCCCTGTCTGCCTGGCACCTTGTGTCTGGGTTTCTGCCGCCATGAAACCGGGACACAGCATTCAAAACCCGAACTGTCCGGGTGAATCCTGGACAGGTGGCAACCCTAATGGCTTCAGGGCAACCTGAACCTGCACATCCTGGCAGGTCCAGATGCCCGCACTTTGATGCACACGGTCTGCTTCCAAGTGTGGGCAACCAGACCGGTTCAGGACACAGCTGCATCTTCTCAGAAAAATACAGGCGGCTGCACGCAATTACACGCAGCCCCTGTCCCTCCCAGGAGCAGGCCTCTGCACGGGTGTGCATGCCATATGATTGTTCACACCCCTGTGAATGAGCCCCAAAACACATGAACACTGCAAACCGTGTTATGGAAAGGAGTGCCCACCTCCTCCTCCATCACCGGGCCCCGCCTCCTCCTCTGCTGCCGGGTCCAGCCTGCTCCACCGCTGCTACTGGCTCTCATTAACTCCGCATCGGCTGTAAGAAGAACGCAATGCTGCACAGATTACGGTCAGTGATCTGAACAGCAGCGCATTCTTCTCACAGCCGCCAGTGAAAGCCACCAGCCGGTATAAGAGGCCATAGCGACCCAGGCGGCCCGCACGGCATCTGGCCAGGCCCCCCTTTGCCCCGGGACCCATAGCGGCTGCCTGGGTCGCTATGGCGATTGTTACGCCACTGTGTGAGTGGTAGATTGTGGTGGACTATGCGGGTTTCATGCAAACGTCCATAAATGACACAAAATTGCCGCATCTGTGGCCAACATTAAATACAACTAAACTCATCTCCCTCACCGAGGCCGACACCTCTGCATGTTCTTCTTCCATGTTCAGGATCTCCGCTGCTCTTGATTGGTCGAGCTGGAACTCCCACACAAGCACAGCTCAGTGTACATATTAAAGAAGATTGCGAACGGGCAGATATGTTTGTTTTATTGCAGAAGTGGCACAGCGCATCTCTTCTGCAATAAGGAGCCTGTCAGCTCGCAGTGGTTCCTCCTGTGTGATGCAACATTGCACATGCATTGCAGCGTGTTTTTACCATGCGTTGCGGTAAGGCAGCCCATTCATTTTAAATGAGCTGTCCGCCGCATCTAAATTGGACCAAAAGTAGTGCATGACCATCTTTTTTTTATACGTTGCAACACAATGCATGGTAATAAGTTATCATTTGTTGTGGTGCAATGCAATGCATGTGTGATGGTCAGGTGCTTTGGGGTGACCAGTTTGCACATCCGCTGCTCCAGGTGATGTCTCTGATTTTAAAGGGACGGGTCGTGTTCCGTATCAATGCAACCAACTCTGAAAGACAAGAACCAACAGAGGCTGAAAATGGGCGAATTTGTTGCACTTATTGCACGTTGGAAATGTAATTTCATCCTGAAAGATGACACTTTCTATTTTATTGCTTTGTACTATAAATATTTCACACTGCATTCTGAATTTCAGCGTGCCCTATGTGCGTGTGATAGGCCTACCTTATGACTTTGGGGGATGGGAAAGAGGGACACATTATAGCGCAAAATATGTAGTTAAAGCACCCGCCCCCAGCCACGCCTCCAGTAACACGGATCATGCCGATTAATGGGGGGGAAAAAATTGGTTTAACCCAAAATTGCTTTTTTACCATCACTACGCTTCCTTTATTTTAGCTCTTCTAAATAACAAATGAAATCATTTAAATCGGGGGTAGCCAGACCTTAGTCCTCCAGCTGTTGTGGAACTACAAGTCCCATTAGGCATTGCAAGACACTGACAGCCACAGACTTGACTCCCAGAGACATGGGCATGATGGGAGGTATGGTGACAGGTACATTTGAAGGGTGGTTATTGGCCCTTTCGGTGCTGCATCTGATTTAGGATGGGGTATCATTAAAGCTTTTTGATGGGAAAAAGTCATCATTGGAAGTTCAAATACAAAATGCAGCAAATGGCAACGTCTGACGCCCGCAATGCAAACGCATTCCAATAGGTTGAGTCCAAAGCAACGCAACAATAAGCAGGTCAACTGGCAGCCTCAGAACTGTCATCTGCACCACTGAGGTCTATGGCAATCTGCTGACCTGCGTTTGCTGTGTGCTTCCTCAAACACAAGAATACAACTGCCGTCTTCACAATCCGTGACAGCGCAAAGAGGTTTCTTCAAAGTACATCTATTAAAAAGCAGGAGAGTCGGAAAACATGGAATTTCTGCTACTGAGGATTGGATGTATGTGGGCCCATTGACAAGATGTATGTGGGCCCATTGACACCATGTATGTGGGCCCATTGACACCATGTATGTGGGCCCATTGACACCATGTACTGTATGTGGGCCCATTTACACCACAACATGTGCATTACAACATTGTTAACATGCATTGCAATGCTTTATTTATTTACATTTTAGGTGTGCCTGGCAATGCAATGCGTAACAGAATACACTGTGTGCAAAAAATTTGCCGTGTCCTGCTTGTTTTCTCAGCACTTTTTACTTGTTCCTGCGTTGGGCAAGACAGCCCAGTGCTGCTGGTTTGTATGGGCCCTTTAACAGGCAGGTGCACAGGTGAGAGTTAATTAGGAACATTTGGGCTGAATCCAGAGGCTCTCCATAGACAGGTGATCTCTGATCAGGTGATCCTCGTTACCCGCATGGGGGGAGGATAGGCAGGTATATAAAGTGTATATGGGTAGCTGGTTATGAGTGTTGTCAGTGCTTGTGATTTGGTCAAGAGTTAAGGAAACGGTTCTATCATGGCTCCAAAGAAGGCTGCCCCAGTGACCAAGGAAGAGGCTCCTGGTAAGATTTCATGTTTGTATTGGGAATTATAGTTTGTGATGAATAGTGTTTTGATAACACCATGTATGTGGGCCCATTGACACCATGTACTGTATGTGGGCCCATTTACACCACAACATGTGCATTACAACATTGTTAACATGCATTGCAATGCTTTATTTATTTACATTTTAGGTGTGCCTGGCAATGCAATGCGTAACAGAATACACTGTGTGCAAAAAATTTGCCGTGTCCTGCTTGTTTTCTCAGCACTTTTTACTTGTTCCTGCGTTGGGCAAGACAGCCCAGTGCTGCTGGTTTGTATGGGCCCTTTAACAGGCAGGTGCACAGGTGAGAGTTAATTAGGAACATTTGGGCTGAATCCAGAGGCTCTCCATAGACAGGTGATCTCTGATCAGGTGATCCTCGTTACCCGCATGGGGGGAGGATAGGCAGGTATATAAAGTGTATATGGGTAGCTGGTTATGAGTGTTGTCAGTGCTTGTGATTTGGTCAAGAGTTAAGGAAACGGTTCTATCATGGCTCCAAAGAAGGCTGCCCCAGTGACCAAGGAAGAGGCTCCTGGTAAGATTTCATGTTTGTATTGGGAATTATAGTTTGTGATGAATAGTGTTTTGATTTTCCCCTTCCAACACATGGCTTCTATACTTTCAGTGTTCCAGACAAGATACATTTTGTATTCATCCACGTATGTACATGAGTGCAGCCATGTTTTGGCTTCCTATGCGTACTGGCTGTGGTTTGTGCACTGTAGTCTTGCAAAGAGGTCATGGCTCTCCTCTGTCTTGGCCAAAGCTACCGGTCATGGCTGACTGCAAACCATGTACTCCTGCCATTTCCTCTGCTCTCCTGAGCAGGCATATTGAGTTTGTATCCCTGGTAGAAGAGGTCTTACTCTGCTAGATTAAATTGAACCTGTAAGTAACCTAGAGTGTAGCAAACTGCTATTGCTGCTCATGCTTGAGACTCAACCTTGCTTTGATAGTTCTTGAAGGGGGACCTAGCATCAGCTTTTTGACCAGTAATATGTACTGCCTCCCGGGTATGTTACCTTTTTACTAGAGAGCACCGTATTCCCCTTTTACAGTGCCTTATCGGCTCTTCTCAAGGATGGTGCCATCTTTGTTCTGGTGTCATCCAGGGTTGCCTTCTTCCAGGACTAGGCTATTGGCTCAGGCTGTAAAGCAGAGAGTGGGAAAAGCAGGGTCATCCATAAGGCAACCTAGGCAGAAGACTGGGGAGCCAAACTACAACACTAATGCTCCTGCAGTGACCCATAGTGGGAGCCTTTGTAGTCACAGCCATAAGACCATATGCACAACTGTGCAGTGATTGGCGGTGCTGGCTAAGGGAGGCTGAATGTAAATAGTTGGTGTCTGATGGGGGTAGGTCAGTAGAGATGATGCAAATGGGAAGACTACTCTGTGCCTATTGCAGTCCTTATTGTTTATGGGGAAGGGGAGATTGGCAAAGCTGCTACCTTGGATAGGACACCATTCTGCTTGAAATCTGTCCACTACTTCAAATGTGTTGAAGCTTTTTGGTGGAGATTTGGTATTGTAAAATGGGAATTGGTGGGTTTGGAACCTAAAGTCTTCATGTAGCTAGGGAAGCTGTAGCTAGACTAGAATGTATAGCTTTGCTTAAAGTCTAGATTAAAAAATAGTTGTTGCCAACACCCATCTGTGTTCTATGTTTGTTTACTCCACAATTCTACCGGACTAAAACCCCATAATGCTAAGTAGATTGTGTTTTCATGTCTGTCCAACTATTCCATCATATCTTGGCAGCTACTGCTGAAACTGAAACTGAAACCAAGGCCAAGAAACCCCCAAAGCCAACCAAGCTGAAGACCCTGGTTCACCCTTCTACACTAGCCATGGTGGTGGAAGTCCTGAAGAAAAACTCTGAGAAGAAGGGGACATCTGTGCCGGCCATACGTGCCAGGATTCTGGCTGCCCATCCTACTGTGGACCCTGTGAGGCTGAAGTTTCTGCTGAGGGCTGCTCTGTACAAGGGCATTGAGAAGGGTATCCTAGTCCGACCACTAAACTCCAGCGCTACTGGAGCCACCGGGCGCTTCAAGGTGCGTAATGCAAAATGGAAAGCGACTAGGTATTTCCTCTTATCAGCTTGTTCACACCAGCCCACATGCATTATAGCCCTCGTATTTGTTGTGCTTCCTTTTGGCCCTTAAAGAGCTAAGAATATTTTGGTCTGAATCCAGCTGGTGGGTGGGAAGAGTAGAAATGTACTGTCTTGTTGCCACACCAGGCTTCATCAGCGGGTGGTGCTGTTTGAAAATTAGAACAAATACTTCTACTCTTAGGGCACGTTCACACCATTTTCTGGTCTGGAAAATGGTGTGAACCTGCACGCAGTTCCAGTGCATTCCAGACAAAATGAGATGTGCAGTATTTTGCGCTGGTGTGAACAGAGGCCAGAAATGGCATAGGGATGTATTTTGCGTCGGGAAACAATCTGGTCTGGTTTGGAGGTGGTGTGAATGGGCCCTTAAACTTGGGAGCAATTTCCCTGGAAGTCTAGCTGGTATAATTGGTTACTTTTTATACCTCCAGCTGGCAAAACCACTTCTAAAAACCAAGGCAGTGAGCAACATGTCGGAGAATGTGGACCCCAATGGCCTACCAAAGGAGAAACCCAAGAAAAAGGTTCTGAAGGTGGCAAAGCCTAAAGAGGCAAAGCCTAAAGAGCCAAAAGGTAAGTGACTGGAATTCAGAACTTGGTGTATGCAAAAACATCTTGGATCAGAAATCCAGTTGAATACCTAGGCTAAAGAATCCCTGATATTTAATGGCGGCACTATGTACAGGGCTCGGGTTTATAATTTTGTACCTAGGCCAGCTTCCTTTTTACGCTACTCCTACACCTTTCACAATTCAGGGGTACATGTACTGAGCACCATGGTCTTCTGTAGCTAACCTAGCAAACATCTGCCACATGTACTGGTCTGCAGAGGATAGTATAGAATAGAAAGTGCATTGTACAGAATTCAGTGGTCTAGGATGTCCTGGTACTTTTTTTTTTTTTTTTTTTTTTTTTTTTTTTTTTTTTGCATGCTTCCTGTGGGGCTGGCCATGCCTGCGCCAGGGAGGAGATGTAGAACCAGACAGGCCTAGCCAAGGTGGGCTTCTGCCAGGTCCCCACAAGCATGGAACCTCAGACAGCCGCTGAGGTTCAAAAATGTAAAGAACCGGTATCAGCCTTAAGAATTTCATTCTAAAATTGGTGTGTATGGTGGTGCTAATCAAAACCAATGAGGGCCGGAAAGCGAGAAAAGGCTGTGGGACCTGCTCTCACAGTTCTGAAGTTTAAAATTGGTACCACTTGTGTGCTGGACAGGCTGAAGGCAGTATTATGCATGGGCTACACAGGTGGCAGGGCAGACTGGTTGTGCCTTCACTGATATCGCAGGCTGGACAGAAGGAAGTGGGACTGTTTGTAGGAGCTGCTGTCCAGGCAACCAGAGGACTGATAATGCCGTGTATCTGGTGAGGCGTTTCCTACCTATGACACCAGCCTAATCCTGCCATCACCAGGAACATGTGGCTCAGCTATTTAATGCCTGACTTCACTTCACTTTTCTTTAACAGATGAGAAACCAGAGAAATCAGAAACTGCCTCAAAGAAGGAAAAGTCTTCAGAGGTGAGTGACTGGTTCCTGAGCCTCCAGTTAACATGACTTTGTAGCATGCATTGGCAATGCCAGCTGACCACTGAGGTCCTGGATAGCGGAGCTATTCTGCGACTTGCAGGAGACCAGCAGTGAGTAGAGACTGCCATTGTTGACCTAAATACTCTTATCACTGGTGTCTTTCTTGGGTCAGTGATGCAAGCATTAGAGGACAAAGCTGCCATCTATTTTTCTCCATGGCTTAACTTTGGCACAAACAACCACTTCTCCTTGGCATACTTGTCTCATTTTAAAGTAGACTACCATAGCGGTTTGTCTTGTGACTAATGAAAGGGGACAAAAGTGCTGCATGTAAATCGCACACTTTCTACTGTCTTACTGAATGTCTACCTGGTAACATGCCGGTAATATCTGCACCGAAGGTCTTGGTATACACTGATTGCCTCTGGAGCCTGACTTGACTTTTTATTTTTAGAAGCCCAAGGCGTCTAAACCCAAGAAGGAGCCAGAGGAGAAGCCAAAGGTCTCTGCAGCACCCAAAAAACCCAAAGCAAAAACTGCAGTAGATGGGGAGACTAAAACCAAGAAAGAGCCAGCTAAGAAAGAGAAGGCTGAGACCACTAAGAAAGCTGAGACCACTAAGAAAGGAGAGAAAGCCGAGACCACGAAGAAAGGAGAGAAGGCAGAGACCAGTAAGAAAGAGAGAGCGCAGACCTCTAAGAAAGGAGAGAAAGCGGATACAGCTGAGAAAGAGACCACAAAAGTTAAGGACTCTGAAGGAAATGCCACCGCCAAATCCAGCAAGAAAGGGAAAAAGTGACGATGTGGCAACAGATTTCTTTTAATATTTTGTAAATGGTTTTAACTTATTTGAATAAAGTGTAACAGAAAATTGGCTGTTTGGCAACATCTTGGGTTCACTTATTCCACTCGTTTGTGTGGGTATAACTGATGGTAATTGGTAAGGGGGGGAGGCAGCAGGGCCCTGTAGACTTTCTGATGCCTCTATTGCCTACATAGCTGGTAGGGTCTGACCATGCCAACCCTCCACTGTGTAGGCAACGTTAGCGGAGCTATGAATTGCTCGATGGGGACTTATTGATGATCTCTACCTGCAGCTCTAGAATATTCCCATTTCCCAAACCTCTCACCCATTTCTAGAGTGGCCCTTCATGGGCAATCTGAGCATCGAACCTTGGATCATCTCATAGCACCCTGGGGGGGGTTTCCTCAATTCATCTCAAACCAGGAATGTGTATTGGGAGACTAGTCAATGTTTTGGATGAGCTTCCAGAAAACTGGTTCTATTTTCAAATCGAATGCCCAAGTCAATGAACAAGCAACCATTTTGGCAGAGCGATGCAACAGCAATGTTAGTGCTGTTGCAGGTCATCAATCCACCATTCTATGGGTCCACGTTATGAGCGTTCTTAAAAAAAACCTGCCCACCATGACTTTTTACCAGTTACCTAATGTACACATGGGTGTAGTTGCTGTGCAGTCAGCCTCCTACATGCATGTGTGTGTAGAGCACGGGATGGCTGAACCAGATTTCCCTTCATGTCCTGCACTACTCCCAACAGTAGGAGACAATCCTTCCAAAGAAATCTCTCATATGGGTGTTTCCATTTGAAAGATTTTCCTTCACAATCTGTTCAAACATCAGTGGTAGAACTTTTGGGTTTGCATTCAGGCTCTGGATACAATATATAAATGTAAGATCCATTACTTCTCATAGCAGCTACCTTCTGCCAGGAAAGCTATTTTATGTACAGGTATACAGAGTATTACTATATGTACAGAATTAACAATATTGCGGGCCTTTTGTACATCAGTAGCATCATGAAACAAACCAACAGTTTAAATATCTTTTATTACAAATGAACAACCTCACAATAGAACAGTAACCCATTAGAACAAGATTTCATTTATATACATCTACATACAGTGTGCATCTTCCACTTGTAGGGAGTGGGTCCCCCACCGTCAGAGGCTTGCCTCTGAAGATCATACTCGGCTCCCCCTTCCCTCCCAGTCATTTCACAGGTCCGTGCTCTCTGGCTGGGAGCAGCAAG